ATCTGATAGTCTGGACTGTTTGCTCGAGGAAACATTACAATGCAGCGCTCAATCGTGACACTACTTAGAGAAAGGGGTCCGGACACTGGAAATGGAGCCATTATTTTGAGCAGCGTTTTTTTCGATTTTCTAAGGATGCTTCCAACAAGCAAAGATGGATAAAAAGAGAGGACTGTGAAATGTGTTTGAGCAAGGATTGCCCGATAGCATAGTGGAATGAGATTTGAGTTTATAACAAAAAATTTGTCGCTGGATACTGGGATTCTCTGATGTTTGTACCAATGTTGTTTAGGTGCTAGCGTGTTCTGTGCTGGTGTCACTTTTTCACGAGATGTCTCTCATAACTAGTGGCGAAATTGGTCTCTGTGTTTCCTATGCCTTGAGCGTAAGTCAGAAAAATTGTGCATCATGTGATTACTTGAAAGAAAGCTTTCAGCTGACAGACATGATGAATTTTTCTGTACGAATGATGGCTCTAAGTGATGCAAACGTGGTTGCCGTTGAACGTATCAAGGAATATCACGACATTGAAAGCGAAGTTAGTTTCAATGAATCTACTTTGTGGGTATTTACGTTAAAAATGCTGTATCGTGTCTAATTAGGTACAGCATTTTTTGTCAGCCTGTCATTGCGATTCGCTGTTGCATTTGACCCGGTTGGCCCATGATAGGTGCTCAATTGCCTCAGCACAATCCAAGTGATCGGTACTGCGCTTTCGATGTGCCGATTTCTTCACACCTCTGCCTTACTTCTCATGGGCGTTGTTACCAGTAGATCGCTATGTGGCTACCTACGAAATCCTTTTATATTATGAAATTCGACCGTTAGTACTCGTCTATATGAGAGAATAATGCCATCCATTCGAACTAATGCTCATCAATGTCTATTTACGAACTCCGTCTGGGGCCCTCAGCTAGAGAAGCCGATCGGAATATTTGTGAAGCTGAAGGAAAACGTTAAAAGAGGGGATCCGTTGAATGGATCGGGAAGCTTTGCTAAGGTAACTATAGAGTCGGAGACTAACCACGTCTCGTACACCTACAGACAGTAGATATTGAACGCATCCAAAGCTTTTCGGTGACAAACCGTGTGCAAGTACCTGTCAAGCTGCAGTAAACTTCCAGTCCTCCCAGGGCACTGACCCGTGCCCTTTGAGTTATGGGGAAATTATACAAGTAGCAAAGATGAATTCTTCACGAAGAATGGGATTGCTCGGAGTTGTTTGGCGACAAGAGAGTGTGTTGAGAATTGCACAGCCTATTTAGGAGGTAGCAGTGGGGGCATGCAGCACAGCAGCCACAACGAGCTCTAACCATAATATGAGACTCTTAACCCGGAGTCAGCTCCGCACTCTGAATTTGTATTGCATCATCACAGACTTCAACCGACACCACCACTGCTAACGGAGACCTCTACTTCCCTTCGTAACAAAAGTATGTGGACACCTTCAAAAAACACAAACAAATATCCTCGGAAAAACCGGTAGGCCTACCAAAAGCTGATAAATGCAGGAAATTCTACTTGATATTTTCTGAACCAAACTCCTGGTACCTCTCTCTTCGGACTGTTTCCAACCAGCCAACATGTTAGGTCACTTGTTGTGGCACTCTTCGTCTAGAAGCGCCAAGGAAGCAATACCACTACGTTTTCAAAAACGGTGTGATGTGAGGAAAACGCTAGTCAATGCTACACCGTTCCTTTTGCAGTGTCTCGAATGTAGCACCGGTCATGGACGTCTAATTGGGTTTGCCGCAGAACGTGTTTGCGACACTGACTTTTCGAGAAAGGTTTTAGTCGGGATTCAAGCATCCCATTACAATCCTACCCGTCATTTTGCAAGCTAGGCTCCAAATTTCTCCTTCTTTTGAAACCACCCCAGACCATCCGCAGGAAGAACTTCTCCGAAATGTCTTACCGAGTACATATGCGGGTTACGACGAAGATCTCTCCTGTAGCAACGAGAAGCATGCAAGTGGACAAAGGCAAGTTTTCTCTCGCCAGTCGAGGGTGTCCGAGAAGAAATTTCTACAGAGTTGCTTTTGTCCTGATCTTATTTTTGACAAAATTGCTGCTTCAACAGATTCAACGTCCCATGTTGTGGTACTGTATGAATAACAATGGATGACCATTTCAAGAAAATGCAAACAATTTACTGTTGGCTCAATGATAGAAGAAGACCGAGGATGACCCTCAACTTAGTGTCGAGTGGTTAGCATCAGGACTCTGGATCTATTTTCCAACATATGAGGGCGCATGACCAGGTTGACGTGCGATTTCATGTGACGAGCCCTAATCTGCGATCGGTGCCAGTATTCTTCAGTAATATGCTTGCCTTGAAGAAGCGTGGCGATGCAGAAAGTCACAAAAGGGAAAGCTCAAAAAACAAGAAAGTGGTGCAAAAATTTGATCTACCTCAGGGTATCCACATACTTTTGGTACAGGGAAAAAGTTCTATCAGGATAGCACAAACTGATACGAAATCATTCGCCAGAAATATAGTAGGTTACCGACCACAAGGACTTGATTTGTGGAGGTTTCACGGCTGCAGTTAACATCTATCAGTCGATTTCAGTCAATCAAAAGTGCCTACATAATTTTGATACACAATATAATGTGTTTGGTAACTTTCGCTTTTGTTTTCAGAGACAGGGCGGCACTGATTACCCATTGCTCGACTCTTGGCCACACAGCGGTGCTATAGAAATTCACAACTTCAGCATTCGTTACGGCAACAGCGAAAAGTTCGCAGTGAAAAACGTAACACTTTCAATAAGGGGAGGAGAGAAAGTTGCAATAGTGGGTCGAACCGGTTCAGGTAAAGCCCTATGAGTTACACCACATAGAATGTGTATGCGAAAAAAAACAATATTCTAGGCAAGACGTCCATTGCAAGAGGATTGCTTCGTTTGACTGAAAAATCGGGTGGTGATGTGTTCATCGATGGAGTCAACATCTCAGATTTGAGCCTTTTCGAGCTCAGATCTAGAATAACCATTATTCCGCAGGTTTGTGCAAGGAATGCGGTATGTTGATAGAGGGCTTGGTGGTTAAAGTGAGATTTCTTCCCCAGAAGGTGATTTAGAGAGGAGAGCGGATGGATTATTTGTTGGCGCAAGGTTAGTGCTACAAGGCGGAGCTAAAAAATTGACTGCCCGAGAATCCAATTTTTTCATGAATTTTCTTAGCAAGGTGGACTCGAACGACCTCAGAAAAAATAGATTTTGTCTTACTTTGCTTTCAAGTTGTTGCCATCAAGCTGTCGACGATTATCTTCATCACTGACACTGGTATTAGTTGGTGCCGGTTCCCAGCGCAAAGCCCCTCTCGTATTCCGCCAACGACTCAGGAAGTTAGAATTCAGAGGGAGTTGGGTTTTTGCTGTCAGAAACTC